AGAGGGATGAATAATACAGTTTGATGGCCACAGGCAGGAATGGCTTCCTGTGGTACAGCGTGATGAAATGAGTCTCTGACTGAAGGTGCTTCTGTGGGCGAGCAGCACATCATAGAGACGATGAGCAGAATTGTCCAACATGGATTCTATCCTGGCTGTCAGAGAGTCCAGCTCCTCTCCAACAACGTGACTGGCCTTGACAACGAGTTTGTTACGTTTATTGGCGTCCTTCACCTTCAGTCTGCTGCCACAGCGTGCAGCAACATTAAGGATGGCACTGGACACCACAGGCTCATAAAACATCTGCAGCATCGTCCAGCAGATGTTGAAGGTCCTCAGCCGCCTCAGAAAACACAGATGGCTCCGGCCCTTCCTGTAGAGGACGTTTTTGCTTTTAGTCCAGTTTATTGTCCAAGTGCACCCCTTAGTTTTTATAATCCACAGTGTCCACGTTGACCCCACAGATAGAAACAAGGGTAACTGGGGCCTCAAGGCTGGTTTATACTCAGAAACCCCGCCCCTTCTGCAGACACTCTGCTTGCACCTCTCCAAAATTGTAGGTAAGCGCAGGCAGTGCCGCAGACAGGAGGCCTCTGATTGGTCAAATCTACATCTGCTCTACACTATGCATACTTCCTGTTTGGTTCCTCCTTTTGTTTTTATGAAGATGGAGCAGCTAGAAGAGCGAGGTGCACAAGAACAATGGGACCCTTTTTCCACCTGGATCCCCGCCCTTTTTCGCCCTCATGTCCCTCCGTTGTTGCACAAACTTGCCCCATGCGTTTTTCCAGTTCCAAATATCTGCTTCAAACCTGCAACAAGCTCACCATTGTTGATACATGCGATGACTGCAGAGTGATTAGAAAACTTCTGAAGGTTTCAGGTCTCTGTGCAAAAGCTGAAGTCTGTGGTGTACAGGGTGAAGAGGAAGGGAGAGAGGACAGTTCCCTGCGGGGCGCCGGTGTTGCTGATCACCTTTCTGAGTTGCAGTGCTCCAGGTGCAGGTACTGGACACATTAGGGGCATCCACCTGCATCGCTGTCACTTTCTCATCCAGTAGAGCCAGCCTGATGGTGGTGAATGCACTAGAGTAGTCAAAAATACAGACAAAAATGTGCCCACTTCCTTGATGGGCCTTGGGCTGGTCCCCTACAATTCCTTTTTTAAACATCAATAATTGTACTTAAATATTGTTTCTGGGGCGTGCAGGTGGCGCAGTGGTGTGCTGCACATGACCCATGTATGGAGGCCTTCAAATCTGACATGTGGTCCTTTCCCGCATCTCTCTCCCCCTCTCTCATACCCCCTTTACTGTTGATAAATTGAGCCACTAGTGCTGCAAAAACTAAATAAAATAAATATTTTTTTCT